TCGGCGGACGCCCACGTCGACGTTGTGAGCGCATTGACACCAGCCAACTGGTGAAGCCAGCTGTTCTGAATGCCTATCAAAGTACGCTGTCATGCGAGCTGGATAAACGCTCATTGGACTGGTCTCATATTCATCAGACCTTACTTGCAGCAGGAAAATCCTCATGCGGTATGTCTAATCATCAAAATGGACATTGGGTCTCTTCACAGTCTCTGGAACTTATAGATGCTCGCCGGCATATTCCCGCTGGAAGCGAACACAATGTAACTCGCAAAGAACTCCGGGCGAAACTCCGTGCTAGCCTGAAGAGAGACCGCGAATCCTGGTGGTCTCATCGTGCATCAGAGATGGAAATGGCCGCTGCCCTCGGGAACCATCGTAAGTTATTCCGTCTGATACGGGAAACGGGCAGTAGGAAACCTGGTGTTAGTGAAACTATACGTGGCGAGAGTGGACAGCTTATCCACAACTTATCAAAACGCGTGGAGCGTTATGCTGAGCACTTTGGAAAGCAATTTAATCGGTCGGAATTGTTAGATTTCTCGCCGGCCCCTGACCGTCCCGCTCCCTGGGCTGTCCCTTTGGATCCATCCTCTCGCTCAGAAGTCGAACGTGAGATTGAATTGTTGAAGTTAAATAAAGCCGCGGGACCTGATGATCTTCCTCCAGCCCTCTTCAAATTCGGGGGAGCTGCTCTTGTGGATAAGTTACACGAGTTACTAGTCAAACTGTGGGAGCAGGAGACTGTCCCAACCGACTGGAGCCACTCCGTCATAGTCCCAATTTTCAAGGGAGGCTTAAGATCTGAATGCGGCAACCATAGACGAATCAGTCTGATCTCCATCGCCTCCAAATTGCTTGCCTCTGTCATCCTTCACAGACTGACTGGCACGCGTGAAAGCCAGATTCGTGAAGAGCAAGCCGGGTTTCGTCGAGTTCGTGGCTGCATTGACCACATCTTCACTTTGCGTCAGTTGTTGGAGCGCCGTCACACTTACTGGCCGCCCACCGTAGTCGTGTTCCTCGATATCAAAGGTGCATTCGATTCGGTGGATAGACGAGCACTTTGAGACTGTCTATTCAGGAAAGGTGTACCTGAGAAATAGGTGAATATTATCCGAGCATTATATGCGCGTAGCTCGGGCAGAGTGAGGGCTTACGGCAAGTTGTCATCGCTCTTTAATATCTCCAGCGGTGTGGGACAAGGATGCCCGCTGTCACCTTTCCTCTTTAACTTCGCTGTTGACGAAGTCATGGAAATCGTGTTTACAGGACACGACTTAGAAGGTGTGGATCTGCTCCCAGGTGTACGACTTCTTGACTTAGAGTATGCTGATGATATTGCCCTAATCTGTGACAGCTCGCAAACGTGTCAAAAGGCACTGGACAGATTAGCACTAGCTGTCCGTCACTTCGGGCTTTGCTTCGCACCCTCGAAGTGCAAAGCGTTCCTCTAAGATTGGCGTGGACCGCCTCCTACGCTGACCGTTGGTGGGGATCAGCTAGAAGTCGTACAAAAATTCAACGACCTGGAATTGAAGATGAGATCAGGAACCGTATAGCAAGTGCTCGAGGCGCTTTTGCTAATGTTCGCCACTTATGGCGTCGGCGTGACATCACTCTCGCCCTGAAGAGTAGAGTGTACAATGCAGCGGTACGTTCGACCCTACTGTACTGTGGATAGAAGAAGAGGAGGGGTGGCCAAGCGATGACTTGGTCGAGAGGAATGAAGGCCCTCAGTTCGAAGCTGCCCTCGGTTGGAGCGTGTCGGCTTCCTGGTTGGGGTCCGAAAGACGATGAACGCGTTTGGCTGGATACACTTGCTGATACGGCTAGGAGCCGACCTCAGTGGCGTTCGTGCTGTAAGTTTCTTTGCCCCACCCCATCCTTCTTAGCCTCCACCTCCAAGCACGATCTCACTATTTAACCTTATATAATTTTGCATAGTGTTTTTTGCTACGTAGTAGCCCGCCGGTAGCTTACCGGAACGATACCCATCCATTACCGGTAGCTCAGCTGGTTTGTTCCTGTTAGATTTTTTCCTTCTTTTCTTTTATGTATTGCGGTACAGTAGCTGAGGTGTTTCCCACTAGCTAACATGTATCATGATGATGAATTATCGCTGGTTTCGGATGGGACTAGCGTGTCCGAAAGGGTGAGGTGTTTAGGCAAGTAGTAAACTGAGAGGATCGGGTCAGTTCACTAAAACGAATAATGTTGAATGAGTAGCGCTGGTTTGGGTGATACGTATGCTTAGTAACAGGTTCATTCATTTGTTCATTATACATGTTAGCTGCAGGTGGAAAACACCTCAGCTACTGTACCGCAACACAAAAGACAAAAAGAAAAAACAAGTGACACACCGGCTGAGTGCCCAGTAACGGGTGGACATCGTTCCGAAGAGCTAACAGACGGCTATCGTGCTGCAAAAAAGTTATGTTATGCCTAACGAATGAGATCATGATTGGAGGGGAGGCAAAGCAGAAGGGGGTGGACCAACGGACTCACAACACAAACGCCATTGGGGCCGGCTCCTAGCCATATCAACAAGTATGTTCAACCAAACGTGTTCACCGTCCTTAGGACCCCAGCCAGGCAGTCGGGATGCACCAACCGACGCCAAGTTCGAATTGAGGGTTTTCGTTTCTCTCGACCAAGTCATCGCTTGGCCCCTCCTCCTCCTCTTCCAACTGCACCCCAGGCGCCCAAACAATGCACGTCGTGGGAGTCGGTGTGCTTGCATGCGCAACACGTGGCCCAGCCATCGGAGCCTGGTGCGTGATATAATAGTGCTGAGCGGTTCACTCGCTCTTCCTGCACCAAATACACGACGCCGAACATGCTCATTGCACACGCAGTGCTCCCACCAGACATGAGCTAAGCTGCAAAGACAGCGATGATAGGTGACGAGTATCTTTATGTCGGTAGACCTGATGCGCCAGGTTTCACAACCATATAGGAGAATTGAACGGATGGCTGCGTTATAAACTCTGCCCTTCACAGCGAGAGTAATGTCGCGCCTGCGCCGCAGGTGGCGGAGATTGGCAAAAGCATCTCGAACTTTTGCTCTACGGTTCGTAACCTCATCTTCGATCCGACAGGCGCTAATATAGCTGCCCAGATACTTGAATTCCTGAACGACTTCCAGCTGATTACCACAGTGTTAGCGCAGGGTTGGGTCCCTGCCAATCTTGGAGAAGTACTTTGCATTTCGATGGAGCAAGGCATAGCCCAAAACGATAGACAGCCAGTGCTAATCGGTCCAGTACTGCTTGGCATGTTTGGGAGCTGTCACAGATTAGGGCAATATCGTCCGCGTAGTCCAAGTAAAAAAATCGCTCACCAGGTAACAGCTTACAGAGTGTCATGTTTTGCTTACTGGATGTTGTAGGGCGCAAGACTCAAGCTGGGTAAAATTTGAGTTGCTGATCAGAAATGAAGTCAGAGCGTTGCTTGTCTGTTTTGCTATCCAGGTTGGAGTCCACTTGACTCACCTTGTGCTCTGCTCGAGACTTTACAGGGCATGGCTCATATTGCGCACCTGTGACGGGTCTGCTGTCGTCTCCTAGTCGGCCTGCCTGTTTAAGGTGTGTTTGGTGCTGAGTTATCTGTGGGGTAATGGCTCGTTCTGACGCATAGCAGTGAAAGCCGCAAGGAAGCTGTCTTGCAGATGCTGCCTTTGCACGATCTACAGCTGTTTGTGACGGTGTGTTGTTGACATGGTGTAGGCATCTTGACCCTGAGTGTTTACTCAGGACACTTAAGTCCCACACTAAGTTGCTATACTTCCCCACTTATTATATTTATCCCACAGATCCCTGTGGTTGTACGGTTGCAAAAACAATGTATCGCTGCTGCTGTTTTTGCAGCCGGAAATGACCAGATAGAAAGCTCTTAAGCTACTGCACCCGACGGGATCCGTTATGCAACCACTTGAATGCTCATGTCACTAGCAGCAAAAATATAAAGATCCTTGCTCTTCACAACGCAGATAAGATATGGAAGCAACCGATAGACTACGCTTTGACTGACCGCTGGCCGCCATCGGGCGGGGAATATGGAGCAAATAAACTAGTAAATTATCCTCAGATGGTGCTTATTAACACTTGTGCTACTACGATGTCTAGTCGCACACGTGTGACTCCCCACAGGGACCAAGTAGATCAAAGTGGCTTCATCATCGCTACCGATGGCAGTACCAACAAAGTAGGTACCTCAAACCACCGACCCATTAGAGTTGGACGTGTGAATGTTGTAGTATCGTCAATCACGGGTAATCAAAGTGGTAGAAGATGCGCTGTCACGCACCAACTTGTATGTGTGTGCTTCGAAGATACAGCACACGATGAATGGAAGGAAGTTAAGAGCGAGACAGCAATAACAAGTGAACGATTTGATAACGAGCGCGGTGAAGGAACGAGGTCCTTGAGAAGAGAGACGATTTTAGGTAGCCTTTAGCACTAGTTACAAGGCCAGTAGTAGTCACTTGTTGGTTAGCCTGGAAAGGAGAGACAGGAACCAATGGGCGGATGAAAATACTCGGTTGGCTATTCCGAGAGAGGGGTTTGCCTGAGGTTCCCAACTCAAAAGTTTGGTGCATATCGTAATAAGGAGCATATGCAATGGAGTTGCAAAACTCCAGTTAAGCCTGTTTGGAGCAATTCACACACAAGCTTAGAATATGTAGAACAACTGTCACATGTTTTGAACTGCGGTCGCGGATACAGCGACGATAACAAGTAACCTCATGTGGACTCTCGTGAATTTGCACCGTGTTGACTGGCTTGGAGCTGGCGATAGCAAACAAGTGATCAAGGATGGTGCGTATGCTCAATGACAATTGGGATTAAGGTTATAGGTTGCATTCGTTTATTGCTATGACTGAATTATTATATGAGAGGACACCCAATCTCGCCAATAAACGCATGTGAAGAAGAACGGGACGAAAACGATAAAAAAGACAAGGAGAAAATAATCGATGTCAGTAGAAATGGACCAACTTTGATATTGATTGTATCCGAGGTGCAGGGAGCGGATTCGTCATGCATACATAGCGCGTGATCAGGAGAAACCGCGGACTGAGGCCTCTGTAAGTTGTCGCAATATGGCTCAGTCGCAACAACATCCAGTAGGTCATCACCAACTTCACCGAGTCTGGTTCGGAACTCATTGGGAACCGTGGAGGGAAGTGAAAGGGACAGTGGAACTGGTGCCGCTGAAAAACAGCCTATGTCGTACGAACCGTGAGGACGATTTGCATCCCCAAACGACGACAAAGAGGATGTCTCTCGTGATATGTGTGGAAATGGAGGGAGATGCCAGTCAACCTTGGTTCCGTGGACATAAGTTACGGAGGATGTTGTGGAGGGTTCGCTGCCGTTCCACAAAAGATGGGATGCCCCCACATTATCTTCACCTCCCCAATTCGTTGCAACATAATCAGAGTGATGACCGAGAGTGGAGAGCACCTGAAAGAAGTGGTGGAAAGCTGGTATGAACAACAACCGCAATAGAATAAGGCATAACCAAGTTCGCAAGTGGCACCGGTGGTGGATGCCTGAAGAATAAACTCAAACAGGTTTAGGGTAACCAACTGAGACATGTTCATACCGACGGCTTCAGCATGAGCCTACAGATCATCGGTTAAGTCAGTGGGTTTATAGATACGGATGAGCATTCGCCTCAATGGGGCAGTAGACACGTAGTGCTTCGTGCAACCTTTATAGTATAGTTCCGAAGTGATAAGCAGCAACCATAACTGATAAGAAACTGGCTGCCAGATTGGTCAATAATAGGATGCTGAGTGAACGAACCGATTTGCAGTACTTACACTGTTGAAGCCACTGAACGGGACATCCCGCAGCGAAGCTGGAGAGTGTTCCTTTGAGCGGCCTTTCAGCGCATCGATTTCGGTTGAGGGTGGGGAGTAGCGGAGTGGGACAAACTCGTTGGGGATAGTGCAAAAAGGGGCAGCAGCACGGTTCACACATGCGATGTTCTCGGTTTCGGTTGCCTTGTTGACGCAAGAAACAGGTGGATTACGGGCGCGCGTAGGTCCGCTGCACTCGGAAACTACAGACAACAAAAGAATGAGCAATGACTGTTGCATGAAGGTTTGCATCATAGAGAGCAGGAGCAAGCAAAGTTCACATACAAGAAGCTATGAGGATAAGAAATAACATGTACTCGGACGCTGTTGATGGAGCAGAATTGCAATGAAACACCGGTTTTGATGATTATGCTTAGGTCATGGCGGCAAACGAAGGAGGGTAAACACATTTGGCTAGATTTCAGAAGTCTGGCTAGAAATGTTCCAGGGCCCTTTGAGAAAAAACTATCGATCAAGAGTGGAATGGCTGTATGGAAAAGCTAAAGGAACCGGGATCATTCTGATGAAGGCAGTTCTTCGTGATTAGCTAAAAGAGTGAAGAGACGAAAATGGATGAGGCAAGATGCTAGCAATAGAGAAACACAAAACAGCATGTTTGTGTTGCTAGAAATAACAGAACGAAAAGTTTTCGGATACACTAGGCCGAGTGGAAGTTATTTTGGGGTACTATATGCAATCAAAGACCCATGAAGTAGGACTGTCACTATGACATACAGTATACATATGTAAATCCTCATATGTCTCAACAGTTTAGTGATCGACTGAAGGTTAGGACCAGTCAGGGCACTTCTACACATGTACAGACACTTAAGAATTTTTCGACCCAATGAGACGACTCGAATGAACCCAGCGAAGAACGCTCTAGTTAAGTAAGACAAGGTAGGCATCAGCAGTATGCAGACAAATGTACTGAAGCTTCACCACCACGCGACCACTAACAGTCCCGCAGTCACCCACATCTGCGCAGACTTGAACCGGCGACCTCCGGATTACAAGCCAAAGGTGTACTCCACTCGGCCGCTGTTCGGGTTAAGTAGAGCATCACGTTACACTAGTGTGACCTGCTCATACCGCGGTCTTCCAATTGGGCTGTGCTCTGCAATTCCTGTCTGTGGAACTCACCAACCCACGTCTTCACTTTTTAGTTTTTATTGAAACGTTTTTGTTTTTATTCTCCACTCGCTCTGCGATGCTAACCTACTCGCGTTATATTTTGGAATCCCTTCCTGTTTCCATACTTGAGAATTGCGCATTTCCAAAGGCTGTTTTACAAGAAACAAATAAAAAAATTCATAAGAAGCGAAAGAATTCTGTGCTGGTTGAAGAGTCGCTCCTCGGAAGAAAACATTGGATGATTCTGAGGGTGCCAGTACTGCTTAGTAACAACATCCGTTCTCGTCTGAGAAAAGTAGACGAACTATCGTGTACCATCTCTACCAGGGAAAGTTCGCAGCTATACAACATTTTGTTGCAATGACCCTGGCTACACGAAGAAGTGGGTGATGCTGTCGTATCCGTAGGAGAATATATTTGACATCAGGTTGATCACCAATGAACTTCCCAAAAAAGAGGTGGAGTTCTGACTTACACTAATCGATCTTGGTGTATTGCAACAAGACGTATCAATTGTTTCACTTCCCTAAGTATCATTCGCTTAGTCCTACAATGCAATCCTATGTGTTTGTGTAGTTACCACTTAATATTGTTGGTTGACACCTATGTATTTCCCAGCTGTCTCAAGCTTGAAGTAGAAACTCTTTATGACGAATTTACAGGAGCTATCATAGAACACATCGACTGTACTCTATGCAAGTTCGCCGAAGATTCCAACAAATCTGAGACTACTTTTCTCACCGCTCATGAGTTACGAAACACAGTGAATTTGCCAACCACATTAGATGCGACCCTGGACCTAAAGTTCCTTAATAATGTGAAGTGGTTCCCTGTGTGCAATAGGGCTCCGGTAGGCGGTTCCGATCACTTAACAATCAAGATTTCTCCTGTCATCTACAACAAGACAAACCACCGAGAAATCACACGCTGCAAGGTATAAAGGCATCAGCAGTACGCTGGTACGAAATACCGACGCTTCGCCGCCAAGCAGCAACCATCAGTCGCATGTAGGCTAAGGATACTGCGAGAGTCGCCCGGTCCCTACGCAGGCTCGAACGCGCGCTATCGGATCACAATGCAGGCTTGTGATGCTTAAAGCTACGGTGCCAGCATCACATGGTGCAAAGACCGAAGGTTCAGGTGGAGGCAGTGCTCTTCACAAAATACCGATGGACTTTGTGAAATGGTCGCATCCACAGAATTTAGTTTATTCTTTGACCCTGAAGTATTCAAGTGCCGTGAGAATTTGACAAGCTAGCTACATTTGTTTTGACATCTGCTGTCCTTTGGAAACTCTATACGTCCGTGCGGACAATTGCTCCTCACTCCGATTGATGCGCCTGTAACCAGTTAAGGAGAAAAGGTTTAAGAAAATAGATGGCACCTCAGTGAGGCCTCCCACTGTTCCTATGAAGGAGGAGCGAGGCCATCTTAACTGTGTATCCGGTGTATACTTGGAAACGGTACCTTTGCGTACTCTGGATGATGCCGAAACACCTTAGCGGAGTTACTCGACGTGTACCTTATTTCGATGTGGATGTAGAAAAATTGAACAAGAAGTTCTGTACTTGTGACACTAATGTGGCCGAAAGGACCGCACGCTTACTTAGTAATCCGTAGGTCGCGAGTTTGAGCTCGTGTAGGGGATCGGACGATCCTCGCAGTATCTTTAGTTCGCGCGTGACTGGTGGTGGTCGCTTGGAAGCAAAGCGTCGGTACGGTGTTCCGGTGTATTGCTGATGCCTTTTGCCGGCTCGTAGCCTGAAGAGTCATAAGCCTGCCTTGTAATTTGATGGCGCGGGTTTGAGCCGGGACCGGGCTACCCACGCAGTAGCCTTAGTCCACGTGCGACTGGTGGTGGTTGCGAGGCAGAGAAGCGTTGGTACTACATACCGGCGTGCTGCTGATGCTTTTTATAGCCCCAGAGTCATGCTTTGCCCAAGTTCTGTGGTCTGAAAACTCATCGCATCTTACCGAGTGTAACTGTGAGCAATTTACTGAGGTATCTATGTGGCGTTAAAGCTAGTAGTTCGGACAGGCAATCTCCCATCATATCCAAAGAAGGTGCCGATTTTTTGTCAGCGCCTCTTGCGTCCGTATACACAATGTGTATGCAATAACACAAAATCGCTGACTGCTGAGGAAGTGTCAGTATTACACCAGTGCCAAAAGAGTCCAGCATATAACCATCAATTGCTTGTAATTCTGTTGCCTTGCAAGTTCCGGAGAAAATTATTCATGAAATGATGCTGTACCAAACTCGGCCAAATGACCCCCCTCAATTCGATTATCGTAGTGCGAGGTCCAAGCTAAATGCTGTGGGGTGCCTCGTACATTCTGTAGTCATCACTTTATAACAAAAACAAATTAATTTCTATGTTTTCTTGACAAAAGCAAAGTATTCGGTTGTGTAAATCATGAATTGCTTCCAAAAGACCTAATCATTCATAGAATACACCCCTCCATCGTGCAGTTGCGGAGTGACTAGTTTGCTGGACGCGCTCAAATCACCCGACTCAGTGACAGATTCCCCACTGCACTAGTCACAAACACCGGTATCCTTCAGGAAGCAATTCTGCCGACTTTTCTCTGTTCTAATTACTTCGGCTGAATACCAGCCCAGTGACCTATGGTGACGACATTGTCTTAGGTATCATCAAAACGCCGATTGCTCGCTCAGGTTGCATGGTCTTCTGAATGATCCCAATGTTTGGTCCAAAGCTCGTAACCTATCTCTTAATGAATCAGTGCCATGGCACTCTTGGTTCGCTACACAGAGACAAGTACGAGCAGCTTCTTACGCGGTGCCCAAAGCTGCTTATTGACGGCGCTGGATTACACTGTTCTACGTCAGTGAAGTAACCAGGTGTAACAGTGAACAAGGATTTATCTTGGACTCTTCATGTAAATGAAACATGCACAAAAGTCAGGAAATTGTCGTTTCATGCCTCGCAGTTGCGAGCCTCCTCTGTCTCTCGTGATCTGATCCTTCGTTCTGGCAATGCCTGTATGCTTTCATATTGGACGTACTGCTAAACTGTGATTTTCCAAGTCTTCTTGGTAAGCATTTCAAGTTAATTGCCAAGTCATTAAAGGCATTTATCCTGAGGTAGCGGCCTAGTTTTGTTGACATACTGCTATCTACACATATTAGCATTTTTAAGAAACTAGCATCAAGGACACAGACCGATACCAATCATCCGTTTCATAAAGCGTTATCTGAATGTCTGTCAACTTCATCTACCAGGCAGCAGTATAAGTTGACATGTGCTCGCACATAAGCCAACAGCTCATCGGTCATCTATTTATCTTTCGCGTGTTCTACGAGACCCCAACTCTATAGTTCTAGACGTAAGCAGCCGATTTACATTATGATGACATTTCTGTTTATGCTTACTCAACTCACTTTCTATGGTGCTGTTTTGTAAGTGATCTGTCTCTTTTAATACATTGCTGAGATCGTGCATGTGTTGTGGTTGAATATTCACCTGCCTAAGATGCAGAAAGCAATTGACTTGATTTGACTAGAAGTGAACATAGACTATCTCGGCGAGTTCAGCCAATTGGGCCACACTAAATTGTCATCCCAGATTACAGGTTGAAGTAGCTGACTGATTTGCACCAGAAAGACTCGGCCCCGGTTTAACGAGATGCCACACTGGTAAGTAGGTGAAGTTGCTATGAGCTAGCTATTAGGAAATTGCTTGAGAATATCTTTATAAGGAGATAAGAGAACAGGACCTACTAATACAACGGTTGGTGGGGAGACGATATAATCTAAGTCGCGGATGGCCGAGTGTAATTCAGCGCTGCATATATTAACAATGCTCACTACCAAAATGATATGCAACAACACCATGGCGTACGTAGATTTCCAGAACGACAGGGGATCAGCTTAGTCGATACAGAACAGGGGGCTCATGGGGGTAGCTGATTGGCAAGTCTAGTTACTTCACTAATTGAGACTCAACAACTCAAAAACGAAGCCTAGTCCAGTTTGCAACGGGAAGAATGAGGAGACGCAAAAACACGTAAGAATAAGCACAACCCTTTGCTACAGCGCGCTCTGTCGCAAAGGCACACGATGCGTGTCAAAGAGTAAACTGTTTAGGATAGAAAGTAGCAAAGCTGTCATTAATCCCTCAGGGTGGTAGAAGAGCAGACCAGATCATTAGGAAGCCTTTCAATGTGATCGCGATGCACCACGCAGCCAATTAACGCATTAAATTTACATCAATACCAGTTGCATGCTAGCTGCAAATGACAGTATGGAGCATTTAAAGCTTCCATTCCGTGTGTATGATATTCCTTGTTCGTGACCAGCAAGTAATAGTCGAAAAACTACGATGAGTCTGGGAAGATCGTCCGGCGTGGTTCTACAGTGGTAGGAAAAGATGGTGGCGCGTAGTGTTTGAAGACCCGATGGACTCCAAGACAGGTCAGAGTGCACGGACCCTTAAGTCCATTCACGGGACATCGCACACCACTAGCGGTTTCCGTGTTAAACGTTGAATCAAAAGTAGTACTCTTCAGCAATAGCGGCATCATTAGTGCCAGATTGCGTAAGACGTTAGTCTTACGTAAACCTGATGGGTTCTAGAAAAACCAACCACGGTTGGGATAGCATAAAAGTGAGATGATACGCTGATTGGCACAAAACGACGCACATCGCCTCAGCCTATGGTGGCGTGAGCTGCACGCACCCGATAGCAGCAACGGAAGGGTAGACAGCAACGTAGGCGGCAGCAAATGAAAGCCAAGAATAGCAGACAGTTTGGGATGGAAAGCGATCGAAATGATACGCGCGATCCAAATGATCGTATGGGGGCGAGCAACGATGAAAATGCGACCCATGGGGTGCAAAGTGACAGACGTTAACAGCAAAGTATATCGTGGTCTACTACAATGAGGCTTAGCATCCTGATTCAAACACACACAATGGGTGATCGAAATCCAAGTAAGAAATCCCAACCTTTAAGATAAACGCTGTCTGCGGAACGTGGCTCATCCCATGTAATGAGTGTACAAAAATAGAACGTCCTTAGCTCGGTTACCGGCACTATCCATTTATCACCCCTTCGTGTCCAGCTGGAATAGGTGGTAAACACAGAAGAAACCAGTAGTAAGGTAGAGTGTTGCGGGCAAGCAACACCAAAATGTATCAGTAAACCTAATGTCTGAAAATGTGGGTTAAGGACTGCTAATGTAGAGCATGACTTTCGTGAATGTGATGCAAAGGATATCAATAGCGAAAATCATTGTCACTCACGGATGCTGCTTTTTCCGACCGAATCGAGTTCTGAGCCAACGAGATGCCATACGTGCGTATTCGTCGGGTGATCCACTCCACAACTGTTTGCACTCATGTTCAGACTGAGACTGCTGCTACTATTGCTCTCATCAGCCACAGAAGAAAACTGAATCGAGTTGAAGTAGTGGTGCTTCGGATAAGTGGCGCTCGTTAAAGTAACAGAAAGATCTACAGGATGATGATCACTTCCGCTTTCGCTGCTTCCGCTAACTTCAGTCGACTTGGGGTCACCATGAAACAAAGCATTCGCCCAGCGTTCGCAGAACGGATCAACAATCAAAGGCGCGCACAAATGAGGGAACAATTGATCATGGGGGAAAGTTCTGGCCTGCCAGGATGACGTGCAGTTGGTAAGGGTGACGATGGAGTACTGAGCAACCACCTGAAAATGCGGTGTAAAAACACGGATGAAATTTCTGCCAGAACAATAATTCAAATTCTATCTCATAATGGCGCTCGAGAGCAAGTATAACGGTGTCAACAACGGCAATATAAGTGAGGATATAAACCAACGCAACCGACTACGAGTTGTCCCAATGAAAACCAGAATGGTGAGAAGCAGTCCGCATAAATCTGTAGTCTACGAAAATCCAGTGGACAAAGTCAGTTGATGACTGAGGAGGTGCTCCGAGAAAATGAGTTTCCGAACGGAGCTCAGTGGCAAATCCTAGTGCTGACTGAGGGAGATGATAGAATAGAAAGATATTCTTTCATGAAAATGGAAATGATACAAAGAACATACCGACTTTGTCAGCGAATAGAAAATCAGTCATCATCATCATCAACAGCAGTAAAATGCCAGTTGAACTGATGCTTCGCTGCCATACAGAACGAGGAATAATGAAATGGAGAAAAAGGGGATTTACCGCAAAACCTAGTAACCCTAAACAAACACTCAGCATCAAGAGGCCCATACCTTGTTAATAAACATACAGTCACAAGCAGCTGAGTATCATGCAAAGACAAGGCAGCATCAGCGAGACAGCTTCCTTGTGGCTTTCACCGTCGCGCGTCATAAGCAGCCATTACCCCGTGGATAACTAAACAAAAAATCCTTTAAATCGACAGTCCGACTACGAGACGACAGCAGACGCGCCACTGATGCCGACTACGAGCCATGTCCTGTAAAGTCTTGAGCTAAGCACAAGGCGAGACATGTGGATTCCAGCCTGGAGGACGAGACGGACCGACGGCAGCGAGTTTGGCTGTCAGTGACTTCATTCCCCGCCGCCAAGTCAAGTTTTGTCCACGTCGAGCCTTGTGCCACCCTACATCTGGCAGAAAAACAGTAACGATATATGGTGCAACCACCACTTATTCATAGGCGAAGGCAACAAAAACAGAGTTCTTAAAAGTGACGTGAATCGACAACAAATGATCGGTCTGCAAGACAAAGCATTGACTGTGGCAAAAATATTGCTGGCGATGGCACAATTACATAAAAACTAGGGAGAGAGAAGGAAAGTCGGATACGTTAGTGGTGGATGCAAAGGGACATAAGCTCATCACTATGGTTAACATGGCGCACCAGTATATGGGACCGGGCACATCAAAGCTGAGTTGGCCTAAAAACTATCAACGTATGTAATAAATCGGAATACCTGTAGCTCGGGTTGTGTGTGCAGGTTTTGGCCTGCTCTCCGAGGGGCCGAGAGAAAGCTGACAGATAAGTTGATTGGGTGTCTGCGTCAATTTCATCATCATTTTAAAACCACGCTGTGCTACCTCATCGATGTAATCTGGTAGTAAGAGCGCAGTGAGCGTTTATTGTAGGGTATTTAAAGTTGGGTTCTTGTTATTAATGTGGCACCTCTCGCCGCGCCGGAGGCGAGTGCAGATGAAGTGTCTACACATCCGACGGCACTCATTCCAGTACGGATCCCAGGCTACCGCTAATCGTTCCTAGGAGAGACCGGGGTGCAGTCTCCGTAGCAGTGTTAACCTCAAAGAAAGGCTGGGCAAGGACTCAGTTCCAAAACGTATACGTCTGGCACGTTTGTTCCGTTAAATGCTGTATCGGTCAATTGCCTACTGAAAGAATGTGGGCTAGATCGCGGGTCCCATCCGCAGATCTGCGGCGGTATGTTTTTGAAGCTGCACAGGATGTGAAGTATGTAAGTGGAGCTGCAGATATTAAAAACAAAAATGTGCCCATGGTAGGCGAGGAATTCCCGTGGCTATTTGCACGCACATCAAAGGGCGAATTTAATAAGAAGGGCCATTAAGGACAGTTACACAGAGAGCATGATAGGTAGAAAATCCAATTGCTTGGAATAATTCTGACAACTCATTTGGCTCTAAATCCTGAAGATGCAATCAGTTCTGGCAGGTCACCTAAAGTATCATACATACACACACGTTTCAATGAGTCTCATTGTCTCCTATTCCCATGATATAGGTGACTGTAGTGAAACGTAACTTCCGGGACGCATCGGATACGTGCAAACGAACTGTTTATTTGAGGCTACTATTTTCCAGTATTGAACCAGTATCGCACATAGAAGACAAGAATTAAAGTTTTATTTCATAAGGGTAAGAATTTGAGTACACATGGAAGGGAGTAATCTTAAGGCGAGGTGTTGACCACCGCACCACTCATTCGAGAGTCTGCATTCGAAAGTCAGCACAAAAATACCATGAAGCCTCAACTGAAGAAACTAGACCCACCAGCTCCCGGTCGTCCAGTACATCGCAAACGCAGTCGTCCCAATCCAAGATCCCCCCATCTCGGGCGCTTGTCAGGCTGTGCACAACAATGCGATCATGTGCGTCTAGCTAAAAAGGGGTAAATCAAAAGTGGATATAGATGTAACGTTAGTGTCGGATAAAAAGTTTCGATCGGAGTGAAAATACCATTATATAAGCATGCTTAATAAGCTCCCTATCGGTAGCCAATGTGGATGATAATAGCTAGAACTCCGCAGTCAAAAAGAAGTCAATTATTCAGGTAGAATCACTAATGAATGTGAAAAGACTACTGTCCATGCTGCACCATTATAAGAAAGTGTAGTTCGCCGCAAAAGTTTAGCATAGTGGAATCCGTTTGGCGCAGTGTGAAAGATAAGATGAACTAAGTGGGGATACAATCGTGCGTATTGCGCATGTTTGGGCATTCTACAGGTATCGCAGCGCAAATAAAACCACGAGTATCATAATAAACATCCCCTCGTCGTGCAGCCGCACTGCGCAGTCTCAATGGGACTGCTCTACCTATTTGTATGAGGTCTCACGCCTGTCCTTGTCCCCAATCTCCTACACCCCTTCAGATCGCAATTACCATACTCTCCTCTGTGGATAGTGTTACGCGAATGGGACTGAAGCTACAACTCTACTGAGCTTTTTCATCTTCACATACAACACCAAAGCTTTTGATAGTAAAAGCTTTTGTGAGGCTGCGAGATACAAGTTCATTGGCGGTATTCAACGCTCCAACCATAGAACAAATAGGTCAACAAGTTGCACCTGCAGGCGTAGTAGTCATCATCAGGTGAGTGTTGAAGTGCGCCGCATGTCCGAAAAAGAAAATCAAAGACTCGCATGCGTTTATCTAAATAACCGTACCCAGTTTGCATTCTCGTTACTGGCTACACGCATCCAGCCTCATCCCCTCGGATGGTGGCTGACTGGATCACCGTGAAAGTGCATCGTGTGCTTCTCATGTGACAATGCCAACTGTTACCCCGCGGAACGTATATTGGTAGCTGTTGCCTACACTGAAACCGACAGAAGTCCTAGTGCCGCCGGAGACGTCTCCAAGCACGAAACTGACACGACAGGGTGCAGGGCTGGCAACCCAATGGTGATTCTGATTGTTGCGAATAAAATACGCAGGAAAGACATTTAAGATCCTCACGGTGGAAAGTTCGAACAGTCGCCAGCGCCTCCGCAATTGTGCCTCGAGCAACAGCACTACATAAACTACACAGCTTTCAGACGCGAGCAGAACCGAAGTGTCGTTTGATGTCTTCAAAGTGATGGTGCTGGACATTTCACATTACGAAAAGGTTCAAAAGATGTGGCCTCATCCCGATTGTTTAGTAAGACATGATTCAACTCTGATCAAGCCAAGAAGGCCATCGATTACAAGTCAGGAAAATTATGTATGTCACTGTGGCCAGCCACAGCACGCCTTCGCCTACAGAGAGACCATGGGTCGCTTGCGCTGAAACACCCACAGCTCCATCCACACACCCCATATCCAATGTAAACCCGAAGGAATAAGACCGGGAGGCATGTGAATGGGAGCCACGTTTCATCAATGGAGCCGGCCCACACTCCTTCACAGGCAAACACAAGCACGCTGTATTTGGAGAATCAAGCGCACAAAAGGCGGTGGTTGGACCGTAGTCTGCTCTACATTGAGTGCATAGAACCACTCTTCGAGCTTATCACGACCACAAGGACCGTGCACCCCGTCCCCTCCAGTAACGACCAACTGTCTCCTGGAGCCAGTCTGGACGAGGTAGTGGGTAATAGACAGGTAGGCACATGGTCAACATGCCCATCAAGCGCAGCCACACCTGGGATGTCAAACAACAGCCAATCATTCGAAATACCAATATCATATAAAAGATAGCGAATAAAGTAAACCTATACGACGACATAAATACTCGCTAGATTAGCATATGGAGTAAACTGGTTATAAGCGAATCCGCGAAAAGTACAAAATGTCCGAAGGTTATTTAAAAATTACCACGTGATCAAGTTACGCAAGGTTACCACAGTTAGCATGATCGATGTGGGCAAATCAGGAGATTATCAAGTACGAAGGACTAACCAAATAAAATGGAATAAATTTTATCCACATTAAAAAGACCTAGTTTAAGTGCAAGTTGATTTAGCCCAACTGCGGTGAAGTAGCATCATGAATGCTACATCAGCCTCAGCATGGGGCTGTATACATATATATATATATATATATATATATATATATATATATATATATAGGAATTCAAGATTAGCATATCTTTAGTACGTTAAGGAAATAGTCTGGGTGGAAAATGACCCCAGTGGACATGTATGACGTGGGAGCATCTGCCTGTAGTGCACTAAGCCGTGAATACAAAGAAAAGTAAAAACCCGATAAATCTGTGTATTTTCGGGAGGCTAACTGAATAATATATCCATTTGGGCCGAACACAATGCGACTGGATGGCCAATCGAGTGTGAGCTGACAAACAAGCATTGTAGAACTCAAATAGCTCAGTAATTCGACAGCATAACATTGACAGGTAAATGCGACAGTTCATTCTGACAAGGCACACCATTTGGTTTCAGGAAGTCATGATTAGTGAAACAATGACGGATAACGCCTTTTTTAAATTAGAACGAAAGCGCCATGGAGATCAATGAGAGTGGTATTTTCAGCGCTAGTAAATTCGGCTTAGAGCTTCGTACTACGCTCAAACACAGACGTTGCAGGGTTAAATAAGGTGAGTGGAATTGGAAGCTCTAGCTGAATTTGAGTTTTGAAACGAAGGCACAACCACCAATCATTTCCGCGCCATTGGTACGGATTCTTTTCCACTCGATAGTTAATGGCGGTTTAGACTCAGTATTGAGTTAAACCGTCAGTCCAAATCGGTAAGAGGAAGTCCCAGTAAAACGTTGCAAATCAGCCATAGTTGTATCGATCAAGAACGGCAGTTCCAATGCATATGAGAACCACAAGAGTATCTGCTTGATGTAGAGGGTGATGAAGTTACTGTCCTTCATTCTCGTCCATCAGCTTGCAGTGGAGCAGAAATCACAGTGATGGAAGAGCAAAGATGTAATGGATTGGGATGAGGCTGCTCAAAGCACATTTTTGTTCTGCGGTGGATGCTACAGCGGCGGCACATGTATTGCAGGCCAACCGCAGCTCTGTTCCCACAGTATAATAGCGTGTTGGACTCCATCGACTACCGTGTCATTTACTATATACTTGTTGGCAAGTGTCAAAACCAGCATGTGCGTCAGAGCAAACTGCTGTTAATGCTTTTCTGAGGACGTTGACGCACAACACTCCCTATTCTGTAAGTGCATAGCACCTTCAAGCTGCCAAATGTCCGACTGATAACAAGTGGTGCCAGCCAGTTGCACCATTTTCTCATTTCTGTCCAGTCATACTACTGATTCCATCTTGGAGCTTTATCTAGTAGAATCACACGATCCAGACATCGCAGTGTAGCTTGGGGGAATATGTGGCGACGTGTGACGTTCATGATGTGGTAATATCAACGCTGGATAATCTATTTGGAGTGGACTCATCAATTGACAAAACTTTGCACCTTCAAGAAGCAGTGTCGTTGTAGGACCACCAGCCACTTGATGACACATTGACTCACAACGACGAGAAACCACCACCATCATCAACATCATTATACACGGTAGCTGCAGGTGGAAAACACCTCAGTTATTGTGCCACAATACTAAAGACAAAAAAAGAAAAATATGCAACAGTAGTACGCTGGCTGAGTCTCCAGTAACGGATGGACATCGTGCCGGAGAGCTAACAGCCAGCTACCGTGCCGTAAAAAGTTATATTATGCCTAGCGAATGAGATCACGACGAGAAACCGAAGGTAGTCAGTTCATCCAACTTTGAAACTATTATCGGCGATGGGTACGTGACCGATGTATCACAGGCTTACTCATGATGGCCTAAATTATGGTAATGGGTGCGGCCATATTGGCGGGAGTAACCGATTCTCAACGAATCGTGTGCTCAAGCAGCGATATCCGGGACGTGTGTCCAAGAATACCGGAAGCGGTAACGTGAAGAAGCCGCACTGGCTGCTGGAACGGAGATTATTTTCCCAATTACGGTTGTTCAAGAGTCAAAGAGTGTTCGCCAGATCTGCATTAATTCTGCAATCTGTGTGCAGGCAGCGTCTGAAACAGCATTCACAAAACGTACTCAGCGGCCGCAAAGTGGGTCAATACACCGCCATCAATGAGTTAAATAATTCCTTATGTTGGGGGCGTTCGGCATAGCAATCAATCAGCGTCGCCTTCGCCATTCACCGTGCATGGTATGAACAGTACATATATAGACACAGAGTTGAACGAAAACATGGAAAACAGCAGATGACAAGTATAGTCGCATCACTATGGCAAACTAATGAAAGGTGAGCAACACACTTCAGCTACTGTGCCGAAAGAAGAAAAGAACACTTTTGTTATTTCTTCACACGCCATTTTTATTTATTATCTTTTTTAATTGTTAGACACTATGCATCTGAAGCTAAACAAGTATGCACACAGATCTTCCACTGGCTTCGACTGCGCGCCATTTCCTGAAACGTTTCGAACCAACGCACACTTCGTCCTTAGGTCTGCAACCATAAACGCGTGTGGATCCAACAGCAGCAAGACGTGAAGGTGGGTGGTTGACCGCCACGTAGTCTCTTCCAATCGAGTCTTGCACGAGCAAATACAGCGCGATAGGGTAAAGGTTCAGCTGACATATGCAGGATGTAGCCAAGCCGTCTTAACTGGCGCAGTAAAACCCGCCTGCTGAAATGAATACTCGCAGTCCCTAAGACTCGACTTCACCGTCTTCACCTGACTTCACCGTTGCAGATACGCTGTTGCCACCGTACACGAGCAATTCGCCGCAAGCACACATCATCGAAGGCCGAGAAGAGGCGCATGTCATCTACGCGAACTAGCCACGACTCACTGTCATATAACAAGACCGCCAGAACGGTGGTATTGTAAACACGACCCTTTACCAAGAGAGTGACATCCCGACGGCGCCTAAAGTGTTGAGGGTTGAAAAACGAGGACCGGGAT